AACCCACTCGCAAAATTTTGGCGCCGGAGCTTGCTTGGGTGCCGAGTTGAAATACTCGGACAGACAGACAGACAGACAGACACATATCGGGGTCATCGCAATATGCTTTTTCGCATTTGCATATTATGCAAAAACGCATAAAAAGTGCATTTTTCACTGAAACTGTGTGAAAAAAGAAAGTTTGCTGGTCATAATCATAAAAATCTTAATTTTTGAAAACTTCAACTGCCCAACCTTTTGATTGTAGCAGTTTCTACAGCTCCACCACCACCAAAATGAGTAGCCGCCACAACATCAGCACCAATATCGCCCATTTCACCTTCATCGTCATCATCTTCCTCGCTAAGCATCCCATGATCATATTTCTCGATTTCGGTCAATGCTTTTCCTTTGTGCGTTAGCTGGTTGCCTGCAAAAAGAAAACATAACATATAATCATATCCTCCATGAACTGCCAAGAATGAGTTGATTATTGATCAGAAAGCACTATGCAACAACAAATGGTCTTTCAGGACCTTTCGTATGACTTATTTTGCATTACTTTCCAGCTTACAACGCCATGGTGTAGAGGTTTGTGGCACCAAGTGCCAACTCATAACATAAAGGAATGCAGATATTCTGAGGCTAACCAAAATTTCTTGAGAAACTCCAAAAAAAGAATATATTTCTTGAAACATCCCAAAACTACAAAATTCCAATACTATCCGAAATATGAAGCTTAAAAACCCCAAGACTTTCTTCATCCCCAAATTTTTTGACTAATTTTCTTCGATGAAAAATTCCTGATGGTCCGCTTGACATTCAATTTGTCGGTAATCCTCAAACAAATTCAAAAAATAAAAAAAGCCAACAAAAATTCGCCAAAAAATCAATTTTTCTTGACTTTTCCTTTAATGGCCTCAGTATGTAAATGGGCGCTCACACTGTAAAAATTTGCCTCCTCCAACTGACCTCCATTATCCGCAAGTTCCCGTTTGTTGCTTTCGAAAAACTTCAATCGCTCCGCAGCAAATCGTTTCGTAATACGTTCATCGTCAGCCACAGCGGTATTGCGCTCCAACAAACGCTGATCGATTATCTGTAAATGAACGAATGCGATTTTTTATAAAATGAAAGCTGGCGAATGTTGCCAGTGGCAAAGTTAAGCTGCAATATCGAAGGACGAGAGAGTTCGGCTCCACTAATGTCACAGTCAATTATTTTTTTTTTT